GTTGCTAGGCTGCATAAAGCCTTAGCGAGAGACAAACAGGGACCAGGCTGGCTATTAGGCTACCTAATGGGGCTTTTTCAGGTACTGAACAGAAAAGGGCACTCGCCCTACTGTCGGCCCACTTTCCGGACGCCATTACCACCGCCGGGCATACGTTGTTCCGTGCGTTCAGGCCATCCCCACCGGACTGGAAGTTGGCTAAAAGCCTTATAAACCGGCAAACAGTGCGGTGGGCTCCGCACTCCTTCGAACGGTACAAGGCCCCTGGGGTGGATGGTGTATGTCCGGCGCTGCTGAAGCAGGGCGGGGAGCTCTTACTTCCACATCTTGTGGACATTATGAGGGTCAGTCTAGCACTGGCTCACATTCCCAAGGTGTGGCAGAGGGCCAGGGTTATCTTTATCCCGAAGGTAGGTAAGAGGGATTACTCTCTCTCCTCTACTGTGGAGCTTAGTTGTGGACGAACTCCTACAGATACTTACTAACGAGAGCGTCCGTTGCCAAGGGTACGCGGACAACATAGTGATTATCGCTAGAGGGAAGTTCGCAAGTACTCTCTGCGACATCGTCCAAAGAGGACTTAACCTTGCAAAAAGGTGGTGCGCAGACGTAGGTTTAAATATCAACCCTTCTAAGACAGCCATAGTCCCCTTCACCAAGAAACGAATTCTCCAGGGGATGAGGAACTTGACCTTGGACGGGGTCGTAATCAGTGTCGCCACAAAGGTTAAGTATCTGGGGCTTACCCTGGACTCCAAGCTTCTGTGGAGGGCCCATGTTGATGCGGTCACCTCTAAGGCCACGAGAGCGATGATGTTGTGCAAACGTCTAGCGGGTAAATCCTGGGGGTGCACTCCGAGGATCCTCAGATGGATGTACACCATGACTGTGAAACCAATAGTGACTTATAGTGCGGTGGCTTGGAATTCCAGGACTACTATGGGAACGGTTTGGCAGACCCTCTCTAAGATTCAACGTCTTGCATGTGTTTGCATAACGGGAGCAATGCGCACATGCCCGACGGCAGCGCTGGAGGTAATGCTGGAACTCGAGCCACTGCATCTCTCAATTGAACAGGCTGCAAAGCGAACCCTACTTAACTTTGCGAGGGAGGGCTTCGGCAAAGGCAAGGTGAGACAAGCTAGGTACCCAGCTCGCCTGGCTTTGTTCCCCAGGGACGATATTAACAAAGAGGTGGTCTTCAAGAGAAATTTCAGGACCCACACTTATAACAAGGCGACCTGGTGTACCTCTATTATGGAGAGTCACATACAGGCGAGCATAATACAGTGGTACACTGATGGCTCTAAAACACCCGCGGGGATTGGAGCAGGCGTGTATGGCCCTAGGCTGAAGATTTCGGTGCCCCTGGGAACTTTTCCTAGCATCTTTCAAGCGGATGTCTACGCCATCAGTACGTGCGCTGAGATCAACATTCGTAGGAACTATAGGAACGAAAGGATACGTATACTAGGTGATAGCCAGGCGGCACTGAGGGCCCTCTCATCATTCGAGATCAAGTCCTCCTTGGTTTGGGAGTGTGTCGAGAGGCTCAATGCTCTGGCAGAAGTCAACGATATCCAACTAATGCGGGTACCAGGGCACATGGGATTGCAGGAAATGAGGAAGCTGATCATCTGGCCAGAACGGCCGCTTCCTCGACCCCGATAGGACCTGAGCCCTTTCTGGCCGTAGGAACCAACAACATAAAGCAAATGCACAGAAGAGACAACAGCAAACTGAGGGAGCTACACTGGCTTGGCACCATGGGCCAACGTCAGGCGAAAAGCTTATTGGGCGATTACAATCTGTCAAGATACAGGCTTCTCAAGGATCTCCCAAAAGAGAAACTAAGAATTATTACAGGTTTTATGACGGGCCACTGTAGGCTCAGAGGGCACCTGCATAAACTATGTATCTGGTCCAGCGACCTGTGTCGCTTTTGCGATGCAGCCAAGGAGACTTCTCTAAACCTCCTTATGGAGTGTGAGATCGTTGCACGCAGGAGGTATTGGAGCATAGGGCACGTCTGGCCAAGAGAGGAGCACATACACTCACTGTCCCCGGGGTCTATTATGAAATTTATAGACACACTGGGGCTGGTTGATGTGTTGTGATGAGCTAGGGGCACAATAGACTTACTGGTCGCAGTGCCATAACCAACCAACCATTTTTTTTTATCTAAGGATCTCTATACCCTTAAGCTTCTGTATGTTTCATTGGTGAGATCTAGGTGCGAATACGCGTCCTTCATTTGGCAACCCTATCAGTCCGTCTACTCAAACAGGACTGAAAGGATCCAAAAAGTTCTTATAAAATTTGCCTTGCGTTTCCTGAGGTGAAAAGCATTACGTCAAAAAGTTTTTATAAAATTTGCTTTGCGTTTCCTGAGGTGAAAAGCATTACGTCAAAATGATGTGTTTGTTGTAATTCATACCAATGACAGAATTGATATCCGCTGTAGTGTAATTTTTTACTTATATACGGCTAACACCATCTTGTTCAATACGCCTTAGATCTACCCTTCAAAATTATGACCTTCAAACAATCTGGCAGCACAATTTAGTTTGTTTTTAAATTTATCGATTTATTTTAGCATAGTTATCGGCCACTTTCAGCTGTTCAATAGTGATGTGCTGAGTATTAAGTATTGATCGATATTCGGTACCGATTTAAAAAGTATTCAACACTCTCGATACTCGGTACTGAAACATTTAAGTTTCGAATAAAAGCGCACATAGGCCAAAAATATGGAAAAAACGGTTCAGGAGGGACTCGCCTATGAAAACCCGAATGTAGGAGCCAATAAAGCTTTTAATACTGATTCAAATCAAAGATGTATGTATATATGTCGGTTCGAAGCCATAATGCAGAGAAACTCTTGCGGGTTTGTTAATGTATGATATGAAATATTTTTACGCCAACAAGTGTGGTATCGATCCGAAACTTGTCGCCAACTGGTAAAACATTTTTCTTCAAGTTCAAGTGTTTTAGCCGATATCATATAAATTTGTAATGAAGGTATTTTTCAAAACTTAAATGCATATAACCGCGAAGGTTTAAGGTAAAGAATCGGTATCGGGTACCGAAAAGGAAGTATTGGGTACCGAAATCTTTTCTAAGTATTGGGTACCGACAATTCAGCACATCACTACGGTTCAATTGCTATGGAGCGAATCTCGAGATTGTTTTGGCCGGTAGTTGTAGTACCTAAAAATGCAGTTGTTAAAAACGTGGAAGGAGTATCCAGAAGCCAGAAGGTAGCCAAACATGAAAAGAAATATTAAATCACCAAGTAAAGGAACTAATTTATACGTATATGACTATCTATGTATATGTGTATCTATCTATCTTTTAAGCTTTTAACCGAATTGGGTTTTGTTAAGCCAGCACATAATGGCACCTATCAGCTCATGCCCATGGCGCAGCGTGTGCTTGACAAGTGTGCCGATTTGGTGCGCCGGCGTATGAGATCTGTGGGTGGACAACAAATATCAATGCCGGTGTTGACGCCCTCGGAACTTTGGAAGAAGTCCGGGCGGTTAGATGGTGATATAACCGAGTTCTTCCTATTGGAGGATCGGCACAAAAAACAATTTATCTTGAGCCCTGTAAGACGGCATTAGTAATATATACATTCAGAGATTTATCCACTATCTTAAATAGACGCACGAAGAAGCAGTAACCGGTATGTTGGCATCTATTGCACCGATTTCTCATAAACAATTGCCCTTACGTCTATTCCAAATCGGACCGAAGTTTCGAGACGAATTGAAACCTCGCTTTGGCTTGATACGATCAAAGGAGTTCATTATGAAGGATTTATATACGTTTGACCGTAATGCCGCAACAGCTTTGGAGACATACAACCAGCTGACAGTCGCATACGACGCATTATTTCAGCAACTGGAGGTGCCATTTGTAAAAGGTACATATCTAAATGAGTAATTCCATAAAAAAGTAATTTTAAGTTTTTTAATGCAACTCCTTTAACAGAGCCTTTGTTTAACGTTTTTTTTTTCTTTATATTCTATCCTTTTTCGAGAAAAGTTAAAGCTGCTACTGGCATGATGGGAGGCAGTTTGTCACACGAATACCATTACCTCGCTAACTCTGGCGAGGACCAGCTTATAAAATGCAACACTTGTGACTATGCAGCGAATGTTGAAACAACAGGAGAAACAAATGATAGCAAAATCTGTCCATTCTGCAATTCCCCTGAAGTTCAACGAGTACGAGGAATAGAAGTGGGCCACACGTTTGTACTTAATGATAAGTATTCTCGACCGCTGAAAGCGACATTTCTGCAAGAGAACGGAAAACCAGAATATCTTGTTATGGGCTGTTATGGTATTGGCATCAGCCGACTAGTAGCAGCTGCGGTAGAAGTTCTTTCAACGGAAAGAGAACTGCATTGGCCTACGCTTCTGGCTCCTTTCGATCTGTGTATCATAGGTGCGAAACAGGGCAGCAAAGAAGAGAAGGTAGCTCATGAAATAGAACATCAGTTCTGCCTTTCGCTCAACGGGGTTTGTTCTGACGAGGAGGTGCTCATTGATGACCGAAACTATTTGACAATTGGAAAGAGGCTTATGGAAGCAAAAAAGTACGTACGAATAGCAAATTATTTGTGTGCATATTTACTTAATTATATGAAATGTAGAATGGGTTATCCCATGATCGTTGTGATCAGCGGCAAATCAGATGGAACAGCGCCAAAGTTAGAGCTACATTTGAAGCATGCTACAATGGAAGTTGAGCTAAGTGAAGCACTGTCTGTAATTTCCCAATACACGAGACGTAAACAGAAGCTGTACAGCATAATCTCGGTTTGTAAAAATGCATAGCCTACGGAATCATATTAAAATTTTCTAATACATCTCTTACACATATTTCTCTGATATTTTTAGGAATCTAACCAAAGTCTTAATATAAGTAAAGCATCGTTTGGTTAACAACTCTTATAAAATGTAGAAAAATAATTATTCTATTGGAAGATGTTTATTTAATTTTTTTATTCAAATCTTAAGTCTGATACCAAAATTTATGTTCTGCTAACCATAGTATAGAGCATATTTGCTTATAGTAATGTAGTTATCTACAGAATTGGCAAATTTGATTTGAGCGCTGCAAACTCTTTTCGATCAAGCGCCTTCAGACTTGTGCCAGAGTATGGTGAAAAATGTTCTAAATCGCGATGCTTGTTGACCAATATCTTTTGGCCGGAAGTGATAATATTAATTTCCCGTTGAATTTGGATTTGATCTACGAAAGAGTTAAAATATTAAGACAACTTTTTTGTATTCGATTTCTTAATTCACCATTTTTTAAAAGTTTCAAAGCCCTCTCTCGTTCTAACTTAACCAGCATGCTGCCTACAGTAATCCAAACTTTTTTTTCGCCATTTTCCGAACTTTTTTCCACCTCCCGTATCGCCTCTCGTGTTTGTTGTCTTCGCTTGTCAAGCTCTACCAGCTCCTGTTTGTTAACCAGTATTTTGTCAGCCAACTCTTCTGTTGAATTTATGATTTCAACGACTTTTTGCTCATCGCTCTTAGGCATGTTTGTGATGATTTACTGCACTACATGTGAATATACATATGTAAATTTCGTGTTATTAATGAGTCCTAGCCACACAACTGCATCCTAACCAATTATGTTCCCTTCATCAGCTCAGTTCTTTCCGCAGACGTCGCTCGCGTTTCCATTCTCGTAATTTTTCTGAACGAATATCGTTACGTGAACGCTTTTTCTTCGTAGGCAACACGCTTGAATTATTGTGTTTCACTGCTTCCAAATCATTTGCACCAAAATGGGTTATACGCGCAGGCTCTTGATCGGTTCCGAGCCCTGTTCGTTTCTTCCGTATTACGGTTTTAATGGGATATAACCTGCCGTCTTTTGTTGGCCCCAGTCCGCTTTCCTTATCCCAACCTTGTTTTACCATCAATTGTAGACCACGATTTTTTGAAGAAATATTGAATTTATCCAGCTTGTGTTTGCTGTTAGTGGACTTCGTATTAAATTGGTGAAGTGTGGATGTTTGATGTTGAAGACGAGTTGTATCCGAGAAAGTTTGAGCGCAGATGGAGCAATAAAAAGCCTGAGTTGGATGGTCAGAAGGACTGGGTTTTTGATCAACCCTCGATATTTCAAATTCCAGTCCTCTTTTCAATAAAACTGCAATGTCTTCGTGGCCTTTTTGCTTTGCGATATCAAGAGCTGTCCTTCCACACTTTTCTTTTATGTTTTTGTCAGCGCCCAACTGTAGCAGCATTCGAACTGCATTTTTGGCTCCCTCACAAGCAGCCATCATAAGAGCAGTCCATCCAAACGTATCACAAGCATTGACATCATTGGGCTGATAATCAAACCTCCCTAATTCTTCTATGTTATTCGAAGTCGCGAATCGAAAAAATTTAACGCGATTAAATTTTAAAGATTGGCCCTTTTTGCTGATTGATTGGCAACCAACCGGTAGCGTAGTGATAACTGATTGGTTGCTCGTAAATTTATCTGTTAGTTCCTCATAAAACTTTTGCACTTCCACGCCGTCCATTTCACATGGTAGAGAACTTTGGTGTTGGTCTTGATTAGCTTCATTGCTCTGCAATTCTAGCCCACGAACGAAACGTTTTAGCGGAAAGTTTACCCTAGCCAGTGCCCACCAGTTAGGATGCAGCTGTGCATCTCCTGATTCCATTATAATTACCCAGAAAACTTTTCATATAACAAAAAATTGCAATGTTTACGACAGGCTCTAATAATAAAGTAAAAATGGTTTTTAGAGATTGGAAAACTGTTTGTTACAATTTTATCGTTGTGGAAACATCGATATCAAAAATCCAAAATCCCTCCATACCAAAAAAAAAAGTTGTATGAAAAAAAAATACAGTTTTAGTGGAATCTTTTCAACAATAGAAGAAAAAGGATTCATAGAAACTTGAACTTATTAACAAATGACAAAATCTGGTATTATTTGATCAGAATGCTATTGCAATAATCCATCTTGTACGAACATTCCCATAACTGTCGCAACACATTATTTTCCCGAAATCCCTCAATTTGTACATCACTCAAAGCTGAATTTTGTAAAAACGCTCTTGATTTAATTTTGACGTTTGCTGTCAAAAAAGACCGCTTTTGAATGTTTAAAAGCAGCACAAAAAGCCATTGCGGAAAAGAAAATAATTTTTATTGCAATAAATGGACTACTCAAAGTTTGGGAACATGATGGAGAAGAATCGAATAGAGAGTTTCAAGAAGTGGCCCTTTGACGATAGCAGCGCATGTAGTATTAAAAAGGTACGAATTCTTTACAAAGTAATAAGTCGCGCCCTTCTCAAGCTTCTTTCTTCGCTTCTTTTTTATGAGTTAGATGGCCGAGGCCGGATTTTACTGGAGCGGCAACGAACGGGAACCAGATACAGTTACATGCTATGTTTGCAACAAAACTCTCGATGGTTGGGAGCCAACTGATGACCCTTGGAAGGAGCATGCAAAGCATGCACCACAATGTAATTTCGTGAAGTACGGCCGAAAGGAAGCAGAACTGACAGTAGGAACAGTTGTTTGGATTCCAATCTAATAAGCAATAACTCTATCCTTTTATTAATTTCAGGTGGACGAGTTTATCAAATTATTTAGTGCTGCCGTCAAAGGAAGTATGGAGCAAAACTTAAATAAAGTAATGGACCAGTTTAGAAAGTGGGCTGAAAACGAAAAGGAGAAACTTGGCAAATAAAAGATTTATATCAGGCATGTTCTGCAAATCGTACGATTTTAAATCGGTGCGATTTACAAAATCTATTTCGGAGGATTTATAACAAAGAGGGAATAATTTTGGCGCTAAATCGATGGGCATAACGTAAATGATGTGTTTCTATCAGTTTCCATTTGAATCATTTAATACTTTGATTAAAAATATACAACAATACTTTGCAAATCGCACCGATTTGAAATCGTACGATTTGCAGAACATGCCTGTATATCGTGTTTCTTAATAGGGTTAGTATTTAAGTTATTAGATTAGAAATAAATTATGGAAAAATAAAGATTACTACAATTGTTGCGAATCAACAGACTCATTTGTCCGCGGTGCTCCGAAATTCGAATTTCGTTCTGAAGTGTCAAAATTTATTTGAGAAAATTTAGAAGTGTAAACTAAAATGAGATCAGTTGTTTTAATAATTGTTTTAATCAATAATGAGCATAAAATAAATGAAAAAGTGAGGTGAGCAATTTTGTGTGATCGCAGCAATCCCATATAATTAACAGACTGCGTAAATAGTATGCAAAAACTGTTCTTTTCTTTTGCTATTTCAAAGAAATCCTCCAATAGCTAACTCCCAGGGAGTAGCATTTTCCCCGAAGGAGGAAATTTGAACTTCGAAAAAGCTGTTTGACACTTTTTTGAGAGCCCAATTCCGCCATTTAATCACGCCCATTGCGGGAGTCGTGTCGAATAAAAGTCGTTCATCCTAATTGCGAAAGTCGTGCCGAATTCAAGGTGGTGTTGATGGCGAATTGAGATTTTCGCCGCGGTACTTATTAATGTCAAAATAATGTGTTTGTTGTAAACAAGGCGAATTCGTATTACAACAAACACATCATTTTGACATTAGGAAGTACCGCGGCGAAAATCTAAATTCGCCATCAACACCACCTTGTATAAATTCGGCTTGATTTTGACATTAAGTACCCCGGCGAAAATCCAAATTCGCCATCAACACCACCTTGTATAAATTAGTCTTGATTTTGACATTAAGAAGTACCGCGGCGAAAATCTAAATTCGCCAGTAACACCACCTTGAAGGCGAATTTATACAAGGTGGTGTTGAGGGCGAATTTAGATTTTCGCCGGGGTATTTCCTAATGTCAAAATTATGTTTGTTGTAAACAAGGCGAATTCATATTACAACAAACACATTAGTTTGACGGCGGCAAAAGTCTAAATTCGCCAGTAACACCACCTTGTATAAATTCGCCTTGCCCCATTTACTGCGATATGTCGAAGGTTTGAAGAAATCGTCAAGCTCCAAAAGTTTGTTGTGGAGTTGCTTGCCTGAAAAGCCTAAACGGCCTCGAAAACCGCAACGCATGAAAAACCTGCTATGGAGATTTAGCTTTAAATTTTTTTTCACTCACGTTCGGGAATGCAACTCTGATTATTTGGCTTCATAAAAACCTTAACCCACCGAACCATTTGTTATCTGCATATTCGCTTTCCCATTTGATTTTTGTTTAGCTCACTAGTTTTGTATGGTGCTACAGTGTTGAATAAGTTGTAATTGACGTCTCCTTTATACACATACATATGTTTGCTTATTGGTGTAACTAACATCAGACAAATTCCCCAGAGTTTTTGTGGAATAATGCTGGTGACAGCCCTTGGCCAGATATAAATCTGGGACGTTCCAGTTACGTAGCCCCGACTGACGTAGGAATGTGAAACTGACATACGTTTGCTCAATCCGCTTGCTTGTCTGCTCACATCATAATTTTTACACACTTCAGCTGATAAGTCGCAGGGGAGCGCTACCATTGATCAAAACAAATTGTGCGTTGGACTTGTCCAATCGAAAGTGATTGGAAAATGTAAGAAGTGATAATAAGGAAATAAATCTTTAAGAAAAAATAATAAAAACAGAAAAATAACAAAAAAGACATATGGAAAGCGAAGACAATGCAGCAAAGTCATAAAGCATTATAAAATCCAAAAATAGAGATGGAAGGAAGAGCGTGCGTGTGAAAAGGAAGAAGCGATGTTACGAATTCGGTGTGAATTTTTAATAATCGTCTGATTATGAAAGAGAAAAAGAGGCCGCAAAGTGGAAAAAAGTGTGTGATGAACATTGTAACAAGAAGAAGGGGAAGTAAAAGTGGAACAAGAAACATGAAAATCAATAGGTTTCGTGTTTAAGCGTACGGCAAAAACGTGTGAATGCGACAGCTATAGAACACAATGGATAACGAAAATGGCGACAAGAGACGAACGAGCGTACGAACGAATACTATACGAAAACGACTGCGATATGGCGATGAATTGGGCTGTGAATGACGCCAAGAGGTGCCAGATGTGTAAACCTTGCATCATATTGAGTATTTGGATAAATTCCTCAATTGTATGGAAATTATTACAATACTTAAGAGTTAGAATTAGGGTCAGTTTTTCAGTGCACGGCCGTGGTTTAAACGAAGTTTAAACGCCCGATCTGGCTGGTTTAAACTAAGATCAGCCTGCTGTTCAATTCAAACTCGGTTTGCTTAATCTAATATTAAACTGTCACCGAAAAACTGGCCCTAATTGTTGCAAATTTATCCAAGGCGATATCATTAAAATTGTTTAGACTGAAAATTGTTTTACGCTAATATTTGGAAAAGTAAATTTTTTTATTTATTAGTGGAATGACCATCGAACCTAATTTACATGCGAGAAAATCTACTCATTTTGATTAGGGATATTTTTATCGTTTACATCTGGCATACCTATCATGGCGGGCGAACGACAAGCGAACGAACGACGTGAAAAATCCATTTTCTAATTATTCCAAATTCCTCTTTAGCAGCGAATTCCTTCGTGTCTAGCATTGCGTTGGACGACTGAAAAGCTGGAAAGCTTAGAAAACTCTGTTAAAAACTCGAAACACACAGAAACAACAACAAGTGTTTAAACAGTGAAGAAATAATGACGCGAAAATTATAAGCGAAAAAATACTGCGCGTAAAACATTCAGACTTCCACATATTCGTACAAAGTGCAACATAGAGCAAGGCGATTGATTGTGTTGAAAATTTTGTGTTTGTTAAATTGAAATCATACGTCAGTAGTTGCCTCCTTAATTGGTATTAAATATTTGGGGCTTTTCTATTTGCATTGACATTTATAAAGCCGTTGCTATTTATAGTAGAACATTTAGTGCACATCGTGTACAACGGCAAAAAGTGAATCGGAACCAAATCTGCATCCCGTGGCTTGAAGAAAATTATGCAAAAAGACAACCCCCGAGTGCAGCGACGTAACAGTTGGCAGCGAAATTGAACACACAAATACGTCTAGCTTCACTAATTAATTGTCAGCCAGCGAGGGCAGAATAAAAGGGAGTAGAGGGAATTGATAAAAATCGAGAATCGGCAAAAGGCAAGTGGCATGTTTATAATAAGGAACCGGCTTGGTTACATTACAAAATATCTACATTTAGCCACTAAGAAATATGTATTGCTTCTTTTGTTTTTATGCAGTATACCA